TTGTCCCCATTCCCAAGCTTGCACTTCAAGTCTATAGTCACCATACATGGCAGTGTCAGAACATACCTACTTCACCATCACCTATGCCTATTGATGACTTATCTCCAGTTCTATCGCCTTCCCCAGCTGCGACTTCTCAGCCACCTATCATCCCACGTCGAGGTACTCGGTCCACTCGTAATCCAAATCCTATTTATTATTTTCTTAGTTATCACCGTTTATCTCTTTCCATGTGTAGTGTTGTGACTGCTCTAGAATCGGCCATTGTTCCTCGTTCTTGGCGTGAGGCTTTGGGTCATTCAGGGTGGTGTCATGCTATGATGGAGGAAATGTCTGCTTTGCATGCTAACAATGCTTGGGATTTGGTTTTGTTACCGCTAGGAAAGACACTGGTAGCTTGCTGATGGGTTTATGCAGTCAAAGTTGGACCTGATGGTCGCATTGATCGACTTAATGCTTGACTTGTTGCAAAGGGCTTTACTCAAGTTTATGAAGAGGATTATACATAAACCTTCTCTCTTCTTTTTTCTTTCGATGGCGGCAGTGCGTGGTTGGCTCCTTCATCAACTTGACATTAAAAATATCTTTTTGCATGGTGAGCTTCAAGAAGAGGTTAAAAATATCTCCTTCTTCTTCTTTTTCTTTCACATTCACACACCAACATATATTACTATATATATTATATAAAGGAAAATAATTGAAGATAACAGGTTTACCTATCCTAATGTCTTTGTTATCCATTCCTGAGGCAGGATTTAAGAACATATCAGGTTTGGGCATTCTCAGGATAACAGTGAGAAGAAATGATCTGCAGGGTGAAGTGTCATTCTCTTCAATGAAGCAATTTCATGTCTAGCTTGATCATATATGTCATCAAGCTTTCTCTTTTGCCTGGCATAGACGAGTAAGTACGTTTATGGTGCGACCATGAATTTTGTAAGAGAGATACTAAGATACTAGAACAAAGAAATGGACCGGCATTTTTCTCTCCATTTCACTGAAGTGTGCCAGACTGCAAAGAGTCACTGAACCAACTTTTATTTTGCTGATTTTGATGATTCATCTCCTCATTATGAACCTGATTTCTTTATATTCATAGTATTTATCCATCTTTATTTAAGTGTACAATTATTTGGAGTAAAAGTTGATGCCTATGTTATGACTATCTTTTGTAAGGTTGAAGGAGAACTTGAAAATTAAAAAATTTACCTTAAGCTATCGAGTTTTTTGAAAGATATTATCTTCTTATATTTTACTCTTAATTCTTTTGGTGGATTCCTAAAATGGTGAGTGGTGAATGTTTTCTTTTGGTACCTCCTACTTCTGTGATCTTTTGGTATCAACTTACTACATAAATAATATAGTTAAGAGTATAAATAAAAAGGTCTAAAAAATATCTATATAATCACAAATTGTCTATGGCTCGGTTATGCATACATTAGATCTACTTATTCAGTAATGTCGTCCTCAACTGACACAATTTGCACATTACACATTGCTATTAAATCTGTTTGGAAAGAGGGTGCTGGCGGATAATTCTATATTTTTTCAATTATCTGGCTTAGTTATCTTGATCTTGATCTTATAAGCCGATGGAATTGATAATTTATTATATATATTGGGCTTCTCTTCCCTACTGCACATAATTTGAATGATAAAAAGTGGGGAGAATGTTTTATTTTGTATGAAATATTTTATTTTGAATTATAATATCATATTTATTGGAACCATTTTATATCAATCAAAATTGCTAAAATAAATACAATACATATCATTATACACAATAGAATATATATATCCTATTCACTTATAAAAAGTAAACAATTCAATTAAAAAAATATATTATTTTTTATTTTATTACATGATTTTTACACCTAGCGTAAAAAAAATACACCCATCCAAAAATATAAAATAAACATACCCTACAACGGTAATTTATTAATATATAAATTTTGAATTTTAATTTTCTTAAAAAAAAATTAATTCAATATTGTAATATTCTCCGTAATGAAAACCAAATTGAATTCGGTAATACCTTTCTTAAAATCATAAAAGTACATAATTGATTAATGTTAGAGCATATACAATTGATTACATAATGATGGCCTTCTCTTGTACCTCAAACATTTTTTCTTTTTTATCAATAGTAGCAAGAAAGAAAACGGCACACTATCCTGGTGTAGTCGAAGCCTACTTCAAGCCCTGAGAGAAGATGTTCATGTCATTTTTCCTAAGCCATTGTGTACTTTTCTTCTTCTGGGATGCTTGAGTTGGAAAATTATATGGAGACGTTAGAGCACGTCCCAAATAGAGACCTTTTCCACCAAAGACCATTGTATATGCTCTTACAAAAACAACAATCAAAGTTTTCATTGACATATCATCAATTTTAGGATATTTATGATTACATGGTCTATAAATATTATTTAGACTCCAAAAACACATGCTTTGAACAAGACGGTAACCCAGAAAAATAAAAATTTTCTTACTAATAGTAACCATATAATAACCCTACACTTGACAAGTTGGCATCGCAGATAAAATTTTTTTATACAAAACTAAACATTTAACATGTATTTTTAACTAAATATTCGCCACTTTCTCATTCATCAGCCATACCGAATTGTCAAAAAATGGTGTCAACCATATCTAACTTTCTATGCTGGAGCCATTTGATATGGACCAAGGTCAGGATGGCGACTGCCTAAACCGCATCTGCATGTATTTTCAATTGCAATAACATTAAAGGACAAACATACTAATCCCCTAGTTCAGAAATTGAGACCGAATTTGTCATCCTTGAGAATCTTAGACTAGTGCACCCAATCGAAATATCCAAAGAGATAAAATATATATTTCTTTCTGCCAATGAGAAAAGCACAATCTCCAATCACGATGGTAATAAAAGCCTAGCCTTACGATTAAATTATTATCCCTGCACAAGAACGGCAGAGCTGTCAAATTCTACGGTGACAACTAATATAACAGGGATCCCTTATTATATGTATTTGGCTTCCCTTCACTACTTTGCCCGCAAAAATTTAAGATAGGGATAAACATTTGAACGCAGCCTACTAGACACGTATATTTCATTAGATTCTATGCATAGACTACTGCCGCAAACAAAACCAAAGGCTTGCAACAAATGCAAAAGCTTAACATATATATATATATATATATATTTCAAGCAGCAAATGCAAAGGCTGATTTTCAACTGTACCTATTGCTATATATGCTGATATAAGAGGGAACCTTTGACACCCGTCCGCTCCTTGTCTCTTGCCCAATTGTCTCCAGAATATTCCCAGTAAGAATTTTCACAAGCTGCTGCTAGTATCCACATAGATTACTCATACAGGACTTGCTTACCATTGAGGAAAGCTTCGTAAAGTCAATCGATTTTTGACAAGCTACAAGGAAGAAGGAGAAAAACTGATGCATATAGTTATTCTCTCAATCCAAAAGTTCAACAATAAAACAAAAGATAGGAATATTAAAAATGATTACATCAAATCAACCCAAATATGGAAAATAATAATCTGTTATGGAATTGGGTAAAGTCAAATATTAGAAGAGGGAGAAGCTCGTATTTACTGTTTAATTGTTGATTATGAGTCTTGGGCTTGGCCCATAAGTCCGCCTATATATAGGGCGCATCTAGGTCATGTTAGGTTAGGCAGTCATTATTTTGTATTTTAGTTACAGAGCTAATTGGTTTTCCTCTGTGGTACTCTATTTCCATTGATTCAAATAAATTCTCTCTTCGATAAACCTGAGTCATAACAATTGGTCCGACCTGCCGGATCCTCTGCTGATGGAATCATGCCCATCTCCAATCAACAACGATTCGAGCTATTGGAAGCAACCTTTGGAGAAATACAGGAGGAGGTAAACCAGATCCGCCAGGATCTTTCCGCCAAGCTCGAGTTTCGCTGCGACAGGAGTTGCTCGCAGCGATCAAGACAGCGCCTGGCGGCGCAGAGCCGCCGCTGATGCCACTGCATCAGTGGGTCAGCCACCGACTCAATTCCCGGTGCCCTCAGCGTCGCCGCCCATGGTGCAACATCCACTCGTGATGGATTCTCAACCGTTAGGGAGGTTCCACGGTAGCTTCGCCTCCACGCTCCTCTCAGAAGTCAGACTACCACCATTTGACGGGACGGAGCCTATTTTTTGGGTTGCTCGTGCTGAGCAACATTTTGAACAACACCAGGTTCGCAGAAAACTCAAGGTAGCATTAGCGCCGATCGCCATGGAGGGTACAGCGTTGCACTGGTCTCGATGGCAACACTTTCGCCTCCCAACCGCCACTTGTGCGGAGTTTTCCCGAGCCCTAGTACTTCGTTTTGATGATTGTTACGTAGGGAACCCCTACGAGCTCCTTGCCACATTTTGGCAAAAATGGGGAGTTAATTAGTATATCAACGAGTTCATCCGGCTGGTGACATAGGTGCCAGGCTTAACGGATGAGCGTTACCTCGGATACTTCATGGGGGATTGCAGCAGAACATCCGCAATCATCTGAGGACACTAAACCCCAAAGATTTGGACTCAGCTATTCAGATCAGCCATAGCATTGAGTGGGAATTCAATGCTAGTTCTGACACAATATATCAACAACCTGGACAGCCACTTGTTCAATTTGGGAGTTCAGCATATTTCGAATATCAAATTCCCCCGTCAGAGGTTCCAACTATGTATCGAAGCACTCTTTTTTGCCGCTCCCAGATGTTGCACAGTAGGATTATGCATGTACCTAGATAGAAAACTCACAAGATACATGATATCAAGACCAGTATGTGTAAGATAATTTAGTCCACTTATTAGCCTTCAAAAATAGCTTGGATCAGTTGCTTTGGTTTCATCTTCATTAGTATTCGTCGGTGCGGTTGGTGATTTGCAATTGTGCATGCCAAACTTGAGGAAAAGATCATTAACATATTTATTATGTGAGAGACATATGCCATCTTTAGCTTGCTTTACTTCAAGTCCGAGAAAATAACTAAGTATCCCCAAGTCCGATATTTCGAACTCCTTCATCATACACATCTTGAAATCAACAACTAAGATTTCACTTGATCCAAAATATATGATGTCATCCATATAAATGCAAACAAGTATTAACTCACATTTGTCATTTTTCTTTGCATACAATGTTGGCTCACTTTCACTCCTCATAAATCCATTCTTTAGAAGGCATGAGTCAATTCTCTTATCCGGGCCCGTGGTGCTTGTTTAAGCCCTTATAATGCCTTTTTTTTTTAATTTAAAAACTTTGTGTTCTTTGCCTTGAACCACAAAGCCTTCAGGTCACGAGAGTAATATAGTCAGATACACTTTCAGACTCCTTCATCTTCATCCTTTCCAACTCGCCACGAAGTGTTTGAAGGCGCACTTGCTTGACACTATCGGCTCCTTTGAATGTTCTTTCTAAAATGTCTGAAGCTTCTTTTGAAATTGTTGTACCGAAAATCTTCTCAAAGCTTGACTCATCAACAACTTGGAACAACAAGTACAATGCAGCCTTATCCTTTGACCATGTCTCTTTCAACGCCTTCTATTGAGCCGCCGTATATCCGCCGTACTCGCGGGTTCTTCGAAACCTTTATGAACTATCTCCCATGCATCTTGAGATCCAAGAAGTGCTTGCATTTGAATACTCCAATTCTCGTAATTTGCCTTCGTCAAACATGGTGACGACATTTGACCCATCACATTTGCCATCGGCTCTGATAGCAATTTGTATAATATCAAATGTGGAGACACAAACACACAAATGCAAACACAAGACTATGGAAGTAAAACACACAAAGACAAAGTAAAAACACTAAGGCATGAAGACAAAATAATTGTTTGGTTATAATAATTCTCACTTTTTTACTCCTCTCTCAAATACACCAACGGACAATCATCATTTTAAAGCACAAAAATACATAGGATACTTCACAAATTAAAAACACAATTAATCCTAGCAAAAATTGTATTATTCTAGTGTAATATATATCCTTTTAACGCCCACTATTCTAGTAAAACTTCCATGCATTATATGTATTTTAATACCCATTAACCACACAATTTAACACCCAATTCCACAATAGATTCTTGTTATCAAACAAATAGAAGCTTGGATCTGCCCTGAAACATAAATTATTGATCATTTAATGTAAAACATAAATCTGTTTATGATCATCGTCCATTCCTCTTTAACATAAAGATCATTGACCTGAGTGTTGAGATCCTCCTCCTCTTCGTCGAAAGCTAGTTCCTACAATGACAATATACATCAATGATGATGATGATTATGAAGCGAAAAAGAAACATCCAAGGAGGCATTCGTTATGTCTATTGATTGGAAATTGTTGCCTCTTCGTCGTATTTATCAATGTCTGGATATAAAACAGCAGTCAGTGCATCAAAATTTGGATCATCTTTTAGAGAACGGTAGCTGGCACAGTGCGTGCGACAAGCAGGACCATCGTTGTTCCTTGGCAGGGATCAGCAATCAGCACGAGTAGCAGAACATAAATAACCGAGAAGTTGAAGATGATGATAAACACTCTATATATACAAATACATAAACAGGTTAAAAAGATCAAGTTGAATATATTATGAAAGATCAGAGCTCTTCATCGCAGAGCATTGGTTATCTGTTTAAACTAAAAGACACAGACAAAATAATTCTGGAGCATAAATAAAATAATGGGTTATGGATTATACAATCGTCGAGCGATTGCTTTCATGCAACCTCAACGATATTGCAACCATAAATTACCTGAATAGATGAATTTATTGGAAAACAAAATATCTTATATTTCATTTAATAAATTAAAAAATTATATTTTTATTCCAAATATCATATCAAAAGTTATTTCCGAGGTTGTTGAAAAGATACGTTCAATATTAGCTGGTGGTCCTGGCCAACGAGCCGAACGAGTTTTTGATTTACGGCTTTTCTTACTGGAATATATCGAATCTCCTGCTGCTGCCAAATGTTCTGATATTCAAGAGTTAGTACAGAAAATGATGCACTCTTCTGCTGAGATAGGAGCAGAACATGATGAAGTTAACCGTCAGACTCGCTGCCAGTAAGGACGAGTTGGAAAAATGAAGTCCGGTGGAGTGTAGAAAGTCTGCAATGGTTACCGAGCATGCAGATGCAGCTGGAAAGGATGCAGAGATTCAAGCAGCTCAACAGAAACTACTGAAGCATCCGTCAGAACTTAGAAACTGACAATTGAGGCAGAACAGGATATTTCCATGATTGAACCTGAATTGGAGAAGCTGGAATCAGAAGCTAGAGAAACAGCTGCTCAAAAAATATCGATGGAAGCAGAAAATAAAGAAATCAAGACTCAGGCGAAAGTCTCTTCTTTAAAAAGGGCAAGTGATGAAGATCACCTCGAGTCCAGTAAGAAGAAGTTAGCTGGATTGGAGTCTTCCTTGGAGTGGTTGAAAAGCTCGTGGGAACATATGACTTCTTCTCCGGCAATATTCTTAAAATTCATACCCTGAGTCCTGATTCTAGATAAGTCAGAAAATCTGGAAACAATTCTCTGAAATGAACAGATCTGTAGACAAGATGTAGCTGTAGTAGTAACTGAATTAAGTTTGTGTGTATCCATTCTTTGCAAATCCTGATGCCTTTCCTTTCTACCTACAGAAACTTATTCTCACCTGCGGAAAGGTTAGATACATAAATCAGTTGGTAAGAATCAGTGGGTCTGAAAGGCAAAATTATTGTATGTGTTCGATTGTACTGGGGAAGTAGAGCTGAAGTTTATCGCGTCCAATTACCATACCTTCTCACCATGCATCCACACTTGGTCCTACTTCAAGCCTTGCCTCGGAAGAATCCCTATAGTTGGTGTAGGTTTCCTTGCTGATGGTGGAGTTTGATAAGCACGGATCATTTAGTGTTGCCACGATCTCATGTTACCTATCTCATCTATCTATCCAACTAAGCCTCCAACAAGGATAGAAAAGCCCCAATAAAAAATTAAACTCTAATCACTCGACAACTGCATCCACAAAATAGAGTTTTCTCTTCAAAACAAAACAAATTTTCAAAAGTAAAAAATAAGAAATTCGAAAATACTTACACCTTTACCTGGTGTTGATATATATATAGTATATATATATTTTATATATTGATATATATATTCTACCTAATATATCTCTTATATAAATATAATATTGTACCCTAATTGTGTTAAATGAAAATAGAGTTTATTCCATAAATCGTAACATGGTATCAGAGCCATGCTTTTTCCCGACTAAATCGAAACAACCCACGAATTCCAGATAGCATATTTCCGATCACTTCCGACCGTCACCGCCACCACCATCGCCTTCGCCGTCACGAGACCGGCCGGACGCCGGAACAGTTCGGCGAACGGCGGCGCGTGAGAGTCACACGCGCCCGACGTGTTTTTCCGGCCGGACGCCTCGCCGGCGCGTGGGGGCGCGTGCGGCGGCCGTTGGCGGCGATCTTTGCACCGTCGTGTTCGGAATTTGATTTCCTCCGCGATGGTATCTTCACTTCCTCGGTTTGAGCAGTTTTTTGTATCCGGTTGACTTTTTGTGTTTTGGGTTTTGATTCGGTTTCTTTCGTTTCGGCTTTCGGCTTGAGGTTTGAGATTCTGTTTTCTCTTGAGTTTCTATGGAAAAGATGGATGTACATATTCCGATCAATGTTGTTTTGTCTGGAGATAATTACAGTTTGTGGGCACAATCGATGAAAAGTTTTTTGATAGGTCGGAAATTGTGGCGAATTGTTACGGGAGATATAGTTGCCCCCATTGCTCCAGTCTCTATAGGAGAAGTTACGCCTACCGCCACAGTTGTTGAATCTTATATTGAAAAATTGGAAGATTGGGATAGTAAAAACCATCAAATTCTCACTTGGTTGCGCAATACTTCCACTCCGGCGATCCATGTTCAGCTTGCCCAATTTGACACTGCCAAGGCAGCGTGGGATTTCTTGGCAGTCCGCTTCCGTGCTACTGGTTTGGCACATTATTATCAGTTATGGAGCACTCTCCACGATCTAAAACAGGAACCAGGACAATCTATCAACGACTTCCTTGCCCAAGTGCAACCCCTTTGGCATCGGTTGGATCAAGCAGAGATCAGTCCTGATCATCTTCGCCTCATTCAGGTCTTAATGGCTTTGCGTCCAGAGTATGAGGCAGTTCGTGCCTCTTTGTTACATCGGCATCCACTTCCTACCTTGGATGCAGCTATTCAGGAGATTCTGTTTGAGGAAACTCGTCTCCACCTAGCTAAGGCTCCTCAGCTTGACTCTGCTCTTGCGGTCACTGCCCGAACTCCTACTCAGAATCGTTCTCATCGTTGCAAAAGATGTCAGTCCTCTGATCATGACTTCGGTCATTGCCCAAAGGTGGAGTGTCACTACTGTCATGTTTTAGGCCATACTATACAGTATTGCCCCACTAGACCACCTCGCTCTGGAAGTAGTAACTACAAGCCTCGGAATTCTCGTGGACCTCAGTCTGGTACCTCCTCTGTCACAGCCTCTGCTGCGCCTGCGCCTGCGCCTCCTACGATTCAGGACCTGGAAGCTCTTCTTAAACAGGTTCTATCTTCCAATACCGCCATGTCTACCACATCAGGTAACTCTCCTTGGTATTTTGATTATGCTTGCAGTAATCATATGACCTCTGATATACGCCTTATGACCTCCACATCCACCGCACCATCCTTACCCCCTATCCTTACTGCCGATGGTACCCATATGCGCATCACCCATACCGGACATACATCCACCTCATCCTTATCCCTCCCTGACACATATTGTATCCCTCAATTAACCTTAAATCTGATTTCCGTTGGTCAATTGGTTGATCAAGGTCTCACCGTGTTATTTTCTTCTACTGGTGTGCAGGTTCAGGACGCGCAAACCGGGCGGATTCTTGGGAAGGGCCGGAAGACGGGCCGCTTATTTGAACTTACGTCACTCCAGGTCCCTCGTCCCTCTATCTCAGCTGCCACCACCTCTACACCATCCTGCCTTCAGTGGCATCGTCGTCTCAGTCATGCGTCTTCCAATAAAGTCAGGTCCTTGATTAGTCAGGGTAGTTTGGGTTCTGTTAAGTTTGAGTCTTTTAATTGTGTAGATTGTTCGTTGGGAAAACAACCTGCTCTGTCGTTTCCTCATAGTACTTCCATTGCGGATACTCCATTTTCTTTAGTTCACTCGGATATTTGGGGACCTTCGCCCACTGTGTCTATGAATGGTTCTCGTTATTTTGTGATTTTTATTGATGACTATTCTCGTTTTACATGGATTTACTTTCTGCGGCATCGCTCTGAACTTCCATCTATTTATATGACCTTTGCTAAAATGATACATACCCAATTTTCCTCTACTATAAAAACTCTCCGCACAGATAATGCTCTTGAGTATACTGATACATCATTCCTTAGTTTCTTATCTGATCAAGGTACTGTTGTCCAACGCTCCTGCCCATACACCTCTCCACAAAATGGTCGCGCCGAACGCAAACACCGACATATCCTCGATACAGTCCGCACCCTTCTCTTATCAGCCTCTTGTCCAGATCGTTTTTGGGGAGAAGCCGCACTCACCGCTGTCCACACTATAAATCGTGTCCCTTCCTCTGTCCTAGGTAATGTCAGTCCTTTTGAAAGACTATTTAATCGTACCCCTGATTATAGTCTTCTCCGCCCTTTCGGTTGTGTCAGTTTTGTCCTCCTCCCTCCTCATGAGCGCACTAAGTTAGAACCTCGCGCTCGTCTGTGTTGCTTCCTGGGCTATGGGTTAGAACATAAGGGTTATCGTTGTTGGGATCCTATTTCCAATAGGCTACGTATTTCTCGTCATGTCACATTTTGGGAGGATACCAAATTCTCTTCCTTGTCTCACTTCCGAGTCCCCTTTGATCGTTCGTCTCCGTTCTTTACCTTGTCCTCTCCACCCCTATTCCCTTCCAGTGACACGGCTCCGTCTCCATCTCCCTCTCCTGACGCCGTCTCGGTTGCGCCTCCTGAACCGCAGCTGATCCCCGAGCCTACTCTTGCTCTCGACTCCGATACATCATCACCACCAGAGCCTGACACGACTTCGATCTCAGCCCCTGATCCTGGCCCTCGTCGCTCCACTCGGGTTAGTCACCTTCCTACTCACTTACTTGATTATCACTGCTTCTCTGCCACCTTGTCCCATCATGAGCCCAGGACCTTTCGTGAGGCGTATGCGGATCCTTTGTGGCGGCAGGCTATGTCTGAGGAGTTGCAGGCTTTGGAGAAAACACATACGTGGGATATGGTTGATCTTCCCCCTGGCAAGAAACCTATTGGCTGCAAGTGGGTATTCAGAATCAAAACTAACTCTGATGGATCTATCGAGCGCTACAAGGCACGTTTGGTAGCCAAAGGCTACACCCAGCAGTATGGTATCGACTATGAGGAGACATTTGCCCCGGTTGCTCGTCTCACCTCTGTCCGCTGTCTTATCGCCATCGCTGCCGCTCGTCGGTGGCCCCTACATCAGCTTGATGTCAAGAATGCGTTCTTGCATGGTGATTTATCTGAGGATATCTACATGTCTCCTCCTCCTGGTTTTCCTACCTCTTCCAAGGTATGCAAACTTCGCCGTGCCCTATATGGTTTGAAACAGGCACCTCGAGCTTGGTTTTCGAAATTTAGCTCTGCTCTACTCCAGCTTGGCTTTACTTCTAGTGATCATGATTCGGCTCTCTTCCTTCGACGTGGGTCAGCTGGAATTACTATTTTATTGCTTTATGTGGATGACATGATTATTACGGGAGATGATGCATCAGGTATCTCCGAGTTGCAAGCTCATCTAAACCGCCACTTCGAGATGAAGAGTTTAGGGCCTCTTCGGTACTTCTTGGGACTTGAGATCTCCGACACCTCCGACGGATATTATCTCTCTCAAGCCAAGTATGCCTCCGACCTCCTATCTATTGCCGGTCTCACTGACTCCAAGACTGCTCCTACACCTCTTGATTCTGACTGTCGTCTTACTCCGATGGACGGCGTTCCCCTTGATGATCCGACTTTGTATCGTCAGCTAGTGGGAAGTCTCATCTACCTGACTGTCACTCGACCGGATATTGCTTATGCCGTCCATATCGTCAGTCAGTTTATGTCTGCTCCTCGGACGACTCATCATTCTGCTGTCCTACGGATTCTCCGGTACGTCAAAGGTACCCTGCTTCATGGACTTCATTATTCCGCTCGATCCTCCTTAGTTTTGACCGGGTATTCTGACGCTGATTGGGCGGGAGATCCCTCTGATCGCCGCTCGACCACCGGGTTTTGCTTCTTCCTTGGCGACTCGCTTATTTCATGGCGCAGCAAGAAACAGACGGTTGTCTCCCGGTCCAGTGCAGAGTCTGAATATAGAGCCCTTGCCGATACCGCTGCTGAGCTTCTATGGCTTCGCTGGCTTTTGGCTGATCTTGGAGTGCCTCAGCCCTCTGCCACTATTATCCATTGCGACAGTCAGAGCGCCATGAAGATTTCGACAAATGATGTCTTCCACGAGCGTACGAAGCATATTGAGATCGACTGTCACCTTGTACGTCATCACGTTGCTCATGGAAGCATCTCCTTGTCTCCTATTTCCTCTGCTGATCAGACGGCCGACGGATTCACCAAACCTCACCTTCCCGGCCGTTTTCAGTCATTTTTGAACAAACTCAAGTTGGGCTCCACCGTTCCACCTTGAGTTTGAGGGGGGATGTTGATATATATATAGTATATATATATTTTATATATTGATATATATATTCTACCTAATATATCTCTTATATAAATATAATATTGTACCCTAATTGTGTTAAATGAAAATAGAGTTTATTCCATAAATCGTAACACCTGGCATGCACATTTTTATTTTTGTCAGCTAACCTATTTTTAGGCTAGTAGAGAGATGCTTCTCAAATGTTAACATATATATATATATAATTTTTATTTATTTATATTTTAAG